TCAGTGCCAACGTTCTTTAAACTAGTAGCGTCTATTGTTGTAGTCTTCCACATAGAAATGTACTCGTGACTGTCTGGGCGTGTAAAATTCTGTCCCTTTAACAAAAAGTAAATGTCCAAGGCAATGGGTTGTTTGGAGGTTTGGAAAAGGCTCTACATCAGAACCATTGGGGATATTTGTCAAAACTCAGAGCTTTCCACATGTTGCTGCATATATCAAAATGGAAAAATAAACTGGAGAGTTGGAGAGTTTTTGGTCTTTTAAGCATTCCAGGTGATCCCAATACATTTTCCGTCCTAGAAAGATTCTTGGCTTACCTCAGGTAACCTGATCCAGCATCTTACACTTTCTTTCCTGCCAAGAAGTTCCTCATATTTACTTCTCACCTATTCTTTCATTGTTTAGTTCTCACTGAAGAGAAAGGATAATTCACAAACAGCTTACATATGTATACACAGGGGAATGTGAGTAATGGTTGTTTCCTTGGGGATGGAGGGCCAGCTGGTTGGAAACCTCAGCATCCCCAGTGTTGAAATAATCTCCTGGCCAGATGTTTCCTTCACTGGTTGGAACAGGGCACAGAGGTCCCAGTGCTAGACTCTCTGGACTCTTGCTTGGCCAGCTGGATCAGCTGCAGGTGGAGCAAATGGGACCCAAGGGCCCCATCAGGTCACCTTGCTGAGTATGAGTCAGACCAGCAGCTCTTTATTTCTTCCTGTCTCTCCTACTTCCCACCACTCATCTCTGTGGGCAGCTGCCAGAGCAGGGAACAAGAGTCAGGCAGGGGGAGGAGGGATTTCTTAATGGATCCTCCATCTCTTCAGTGGTTTGGGGTCTGGCAGAGATAATCCAGACCTGAAACAAATTGGCTCCTCCCCTGATGTCTTTCGGTTAATGCACGAGCTGCCGAGAAGCAGTCAGGCTCAGGGCAACAAAATCTATTTCCCCTAGCAGCACAAGAAGAGCAAATCGAACGCCCACAGCTCTTTCTCTTCTTATTTATTAACTAATTTGTTTGTTTTGTTTATTTTTTATCTGTCTACTATCCATGGAGCTCTCAATGTGGCCTATGGTTGGTTTCCTTCAACTGACAAAGCCCCCCTCTCTCTTTCACGGGGGCTTTGTCAGTTGAAGGAAGTTCTAAAGAGCCATAGGAGTAGTCAAATGCCAAATGAATCCTAGAAACTCTGGTGATTTCAAAACACTCTTCCCCATCCCTTCACATGGGATACACCCTTAACTGTCACCAGTTTCTACAAAAGAGGCCTGGATGACTGCTATATCTGTCTGGTTTCAGAAAGGGAAAATGCAGAAGTCCAACTGTCTATTGCAATATCATTCCACTGTCTGAGGATAATCCTGATATCACATCCTTGCTCCTTTTTCCTTAAACTAGTATACAATGTATTCTGTTTCATTGTGATGTCTTCAATTATAATGCATGCTGATCTTTTTCAACTATTCTCCACCCCCTCCTAGCCTTGTCCACTTCCATCTCCAAAGGTCTGTGCACTTACATGTCACACGCATTCAGTTGCCCTCCCTCCCTCTTTCAGCACCTCTTTTCCACTCCCTCCCTTCTTGCTGTCTTCTTTCTCATTTTATGATCTACAGCCACACTCACACATGTGCATGCGATATATGTATGTGTGTTCATGGACACAAATGTGTATAGATAAAAGATATTATCTGTGCATGAGAGAATATGCAGCATTTGTCTTTCTGAATTTGGGCTTTCTTGTTTAATGTAAATTCCATCTATTTTTCTGAAATTTTTGTTATTTCATTTTTCTGTGCAGTAGAATAAATTTTTGTGGTTACATACTCACATTTTCAATATGAATTCATCTGTTGCTAAGAATCAAAGTTGATTTTCTTTTCATACTATCATGAAGACCAGAAATGATATATATATATATATATACATACATATATATATATATATATATATATATATATATATTCTAAGCTTATTTCCATAGTGGTCTCAGCAGTCTGAACTCCCACTAGCTGTGAATATGAGTTCTTTTCCCACATCCTCATCAGTATTTACTATCATATGCTTTCTTGATGATCGCTGTTGTCACTGGGGTGAGATGGATTCTCAAATCAAATTTAGTTTGCATTTCCTGATGGCTAAGGACCACTTTAAAATATTCATTGGCCATTTGCATTTCTTTTTTTTGAGAACTGCCTTGTCATTTCATTAGACCATTTATTGATTGATAATTTATTTGTGTATATGTATGTGTTTCATTTTTTAGTTCTTTGTATAGTCTATATAATAACTCCTTGTCTGAAGTATAACTGACAAAGAATTTTCTCCCATTCTGTAGGCTTTCTAATAGGTCCAATGACAGGATTTTTTTTAGCTGTGCAGAATTTTTTTTTAATTTCATTTAGCCCCATTTACCCTTTCTAAGACTATTGTAGATGACACTTTATTCTTGACTTCAAAGATACTAAACGAGATGTAAACACTGTAACTATATCCCTATGAACAAAAGTCTTAGGGAGCACAGAGTGGCAGAGTCATTTGAGGCCTAAATGTGATTTACTTTTGACTCCCCAAATGATACCTGTCACCCAGCCAAAGTTCTGTTTCAGACATCTCGAAGATATCAAAATCCCCATTATCATTCCACATCTTGCCTCAAAAATTTTCTTCAAATCTCTAAATCTTGTAGATGAGACCAATGAAGATACAATATACAGAAAATCTTGAATGTTGCAAAAGTCTCAGCTGGGCTCTAGAGAAGAAGTAAGCTTGAAGGAGAAGGAGCTAATAATGCAGTTTTATAGAAGCTGATGCTAATTTCCTTCCAGTTTCTGCCACTTACAAGCCCCCTAACTTTCCGCTGGATGCTCTTACAGATGCAAGCAAAACTAAGTTGTCACTCTTCTGACAGAAAGATGGTTGATCAGAACATAATAGATGTAAATTAATGTCTGGAATAGAGCCAGGCAGTGGTGGCTCACACCTGTAATCCCAGCAACTGAGAATCAGAAGCATGTGAGTCTACAGAACTAATTCCAGGACAGGCAGGGATACCCAGAAAACTCTGTTTCTAAAAACAAAAACAAATAAACAAAAAGTCTTGAAAAGAAGGAAAAGATGGAAACTAACCCAAATCGCACATGTTCACATTATCCCAGCAGAAAGCAATCACCCCCTCTTTCTCTCTGATCAGTCAACTTTCACTTGCTGAGGAAATATGTTCAAGGAAATGTTGGGTTAACTTTAGAATTCCCACAAATATAAGTAAAAATGAGCTGAAGACTGATTTGTGATACTCATGGAACTCTCCAAGAGAAATCAAGTAATTGGTTTCTCACAATGTTACCAATGTGTTTGGTTCCATGACATTCAAAAGGAATCAAATTCTACTTTTCATGTCTTCAGAAAACTTTTTGGCTGCAAAAAAGGAGAAAAATTAAGACACACGAGCAAATAGAACATAGCACATATGTGAAAGATTCAGAGTGAATCTGAGTAAAGAAGGAACTAGAAAGCCAATTGCTTCTCAGTGGCAGTTTTTCCCTGAATTTTAATAACCAAAGTTTCTCCAGACGTAACTAAATACTCTTTGTGGGAAAAAATATATAGAACCAATTCTCTCCTATCATTACTCCATTGAGAATAATAAGTTCACTACCATCTTACTCCAAGACCACCTAAATGCAGTCAGTCATTGGAGAGAAGAATGAAATGCAGATATGAATCATATTTCTAGTGAATATATTCAATAAAGTGAAACACAGAAAAATTCATCTCATTTGCACAGGCAGGCACAGGTCCATGTCATTAAACAACTGGAATCCAAGCATTCTGACCTTTCTTACTACACTGTGATACTACTAGAATTGATTATGTCAATGAAGTAGATGAAGACTCCAAAACATGCAGGAACAAACTTCAACATTAGGTTCTACCAGTAGTTCTTCTAATGGCCCCATGGAACATACAAAATAGTACAAATATTCACATACCTTTACCTATCTAAATTTATTTTTTATTCTTGATTCAAATTAAGCTAATCCAATCATCTTCTTGAAATATTATATTCAGCTTTGCATTTTGCTCTTTTTAGACCACCCTCTAGCTACCTGTATCCCAGGATGACTGCACTAAAATAAGGGGAGGCTGAATAAGGCAAAGAACAAAATAGAGTAGGTCAGAGCCATAAGAAATCTGGGTAAATTTATTTAATGGCTATCAGATGAGGCTAGTTTTGGGTATAGACCAAAAGGCATTCATGTGTAGTCTGTCTAGAAAATAAACAGCATTTTATTACTATTAGAGGTCTATTTCTTTGGTTAGGATATTTAGTACTTGTGTGTATGCTTATCTGCTTATTGTCTTCTGAGATAACTACCAAAGAGAAAAGTTCATGATCAGTAATATTATATTGGACTATTGTGATGGTTTTGTAAAGCAGACTGGATATGAGTCTTTTAAATTTTTTGCTACATTTAGAGGTGTTCTATTGCATACACTCTAACTGTGTAACTGTCAACTATTTAATGAAATATATTTTTGCTTGGCATTGTTTTATTGTTGATTGATACATAACTAGAAGAACTAAGGCACTTACCATTCTAGTTTATAGATTTAGAAGATAAATAATGAAGCACTGTTGACTACAGTCTTCATACTGAGCTGCAGAAACATAATGTATTCTTCCTATGCAACTGTATTTTGGTGCCTATTGATCAATCTCAAGCACCCTACTTCTATTGATCACTGTTCTTTTGTCTTCTACTCTGACATATATTTTAGACAAATTACTATGTAGATACCCTGTAAGTGACAAAAAGGAGACAACACTATTGATATCAACTCTGTCTAGTATCTTATTTTGCTGTGAATTCTCAATGACTCATTCACAGCTTTAGATTCAGAGTAGAAGAGATGAGAGTGTATTTTACCATACTGCCATATTCCCTACTTCTGGCACCCCAAAACACCACAACCTACTCAATCCCTGAGACAATCTTACCTCCTACAAACTGTGCAGCTCCCATGCAACGCCCCATCATTCTAGAGATGAGTTCTTCCATACAGCATCCTAGGACCGCAGCTAATGCCACCAGGAGCAGCAGCGCACAGCCAGCACCTGTCACAACTGTGCACATTTGCCATGCCAGGCTTGGTATGGCTGTGAAGCTGGCATAGCGCCCACATTCTTCCACCATGATCAGATTGTGCCCATCTCCCCGCACAGGATAATTGCATCTCCTGAATGTGCTGAATGATACTGGCTTTCCAAGCTGTGATCCAAACAGCCAATAAGGAAGGAAATAGCTGGTAGAACTGGCCACAGCAGTAATTAGGGACAGGAAGGCCCAGAAGGTGCCTACCAGTGTAAGGCTGCTCCTCATGGTCTCAGGATTCTCTGAAAGGATGGGAAGAGAAGATTGCTCACGGCAGCAAATGTGACAAGTTACAATGTAGGCTTCACTGGCCTGTTTTCGTCGTCGGGTTGGCAGGTCCTGGGACTCATAGGCGTACCATGTGGCTCTTGCTTCTGGAGGACATCATTCTCTCAAATGTCATTTGGATCTTTGTGTGATATTGCTTTCCATCATCCTTTTCCTTCTGCCTAGTTCAGGGTTCTGTAGTCGCTAGGCTGCAGTGGAAGAGTCACAGAACTGAATTAGTGACTGCCATGGCAATCCAAATGGAGCCTCATCAGACCACTTATTAGCCTTGACACACAATATGGAACCAATCATGCGACTGGGGATTTCAGTTAAATGACTTTGTGACACAGTTCTTCAGAAAAATAAAGACAAATCCAAGTTACAGATTTGCCCCTATTTTAGAAATAAAAGGGGAGTGTACAATGTCTCATTTTGATTTAGTGTGTCCAGCAGTGTGTGTGTGTGCTTTTCTCAGAAATATCAAAATGAAACTGGTAAGATAAAAGTTGCCTAGTTTTGTACTGTATATCTATTACTGGATCACTTCCCACACAAGAACTGAGAGACAACTTACCAACCAGCAGCACTTATACCTAGACTAACTACCAAGAAAAGCATCTACATCCTTTTCTGGGTACAGTTTAGAAAGCTTCTCATGTCCCAGAAACATATCAGAACCAGCCTTCCTCTGGGGAAGGAACATATATCTAGGTGCAAGGGCCTTTCAAAATCCCCTTTGGAACAAGTAATCTCAGATTCAGGATACTGGCTTTCCAGTGCTAGTAGACACAGCCCGGCTCACAAATGACTTTCCCAGATTCCTCTGTCAAAAATCCACCACTTCCTTTCCAATCCATTAACCTGCCATTGCTTTCTGGCTAGTTCCTCTACTAATGCAGCTAGAGACCACACTGTAGCTTAAAACCTTGTAAATGTCTCTAACAGGCAGATGGTGGAATGTTTGAGAAACTTCTCACGGATTCACTACTACTGCTTAGAATTTAAAGTAGTGATATTGGAAAGGGGGGTGCAAAGCACTGGAAATGTAGGGACTATCTGAATGAAGCCACCATAATGCCCATTTGGGAGACCAACAGTAGCAAGCATTACTTATATTTGGGGTGTCAGGATCTATCTGTATGTGATTTCAAAAGCATCATCACGGAGTGCTTGGCACAGGGTAGGCATTGCAATACATGTTTGCTTAATGAACTTCTTTTTTTTAAAAAATCATCCAATTCCCAGACTGGCAGAGATTTAATGAATCACTCAATTCAGTCTTCTTGCTTTACATATGGGTGAGTTTGGCTCAGGAAGCAGGAAGTGATTTTTTTCCAGTCACCACAGTTACTAACCAGACTCACTGGAACCAGAAACTTGATCTGCAGATTACTAGTCCAGAGTTTGGGGACCACGCAGTGCTAACTTGCCCTCCCCATATCATTTTACAGATGTGACCATGTGGAGGAAGTTCTTTATCCAAGAGGAAAAAGATAGGATAAACTAGGGTCCAGTTATTTGTTTCCAAGTATTATGCTCTCTTTTCACTCCTTTGCTGATACATATGTGTTTTGTGCAGGAAGGAAGCCCAGACCATAAATTGCAGGTGCTTACTTTGTAATGTTAAGGTTTGAAAAAGAAGTACCATGATCTGGTCCCCTGAGAATGAGGCTTTCTGCCTGAGATTTGGGAAAATGAAAGAAAGATGTGGTGAGGGATTGAAGGCCAACAGGGAAAGGAGTGGAACTGGTTTGAGTAATTGCTTTTAGAAGGCAGGTATCCTTTACCACAATGAGGTAATGCTTCTACTTATTGTGCTGGAGATTGTAAGAATATGAGAAGAATCATCAGTGCTCCATGGTGGACTTCTTTCCTAGACCAGATGGGGAGAAAGAGAAAGCTAGTAAACAGCTACTGAAATTATCATCAATACCTTTTCTGGACCCATTATTTCATGTTTGTAAGTAATAGCCATCCAATTAGAAATAAACAAACTGAAAGCCAGAAAACCAAATGATTTTCACAAGGATACACAGTGATTCAATAACGGTTATCATTTCTTACTCTCCTACCTACAACCTTCTCTTCTTGCACAGTGTTACCCCAATAGAATTGTAGCATCATCCTATATTATTACACGTAAATGCCTCCATGGTTTCATATTCACAAAAGTACTTCAGAATAGGGTAAGAATTACAAGGCAAGACAGAGAAGCTAAGAGGAATGTCCATTTCTTAAGACAGTATATAACAAGAGCATTGGCTCCTTCAACCCCAGCACTTGTAGTCTGAACGAATGTCTCCCATTGACATCATCACCTTAATGACAAAAATTCCAGTATGACAACTGGTAAGAATGTTAGAGAACATAAGGCAGAGAAAGACAGTAGCATCGGTGAGTAATAGTCAGACTGTGGTAGAGGAGAAACCCAGCATAGTAACCCACACCTAAACTCACAAGTACTAGAGAGGGTAAGGCAGGGGAGTTGAAAGTTTAAGGCCATCCTGGGCTACACAGACGGACACTATTTCAGATATATACAAATAGATAGGGTGGGAAGATTCTAAGGTAACATTAACCTAATCTGTGAAAAGTAATACTATTAAATGACATGTAATACTACCAAACATTGCCACCATGATTTCATTTCAAAAGTGGAATTGTGAAGTCAAGGTGTAGGAAGTCAGAACCTTACATTTTAATATGAATGTATTTAGCTAAAGAAAACTCATTGTCTTGTAGAATTTAAATTAAGTACTTTAAACTTTGGAAAAACTGGATTTCTTTATTTCCATTAAGACTTGAGTAAGCAAAAAAGCTGCCTGGGACTAAAGGGTTTTCTGGAATGTGGGATTTCGTTATCCGTGATAAATTCAGAAAAGTACAAAACCACCTCAGATAAGATGGTCACCATATTTAGAACTAGAGCATCATCAATGGGCAGCGGGTTGAGAATTACTGCCACTAATGGATTTTCTCCATGACTCAAATGATATGAAGTTAAAAGTGACTGAGAAATTCAACATTGGAAAGATGAAATTTTGCCTCATACCTCTCTGAATCATGGACTCTTGTCCTTACCAGATCAGTTTCTGGGTTGCTTATTATTTCTGGAGCACATAATAAAAGCAGGCCTAGCTCTCCCATAGCTGAACAGAGTCAGAAGTGCATGTGGAGTGTGTGTACCCACATTGCTGCGTGTTCCCAGTTGACGAGCAGGAAAGCACAGTTTTGCAACTGGTTTTCAGTTACATCGCCTGTAACAGAGTAATCCCCTTTATGACAGCCTTCTAAAGCAATCCAAGTTCATTCCCAGAAGCTGCTTAAGTCATTTTATTCTCACTCCAATAAATATCGCAAACAATGGCATCCTTCACTGTATCCTAATGCTTCATACACTTCGTATGTGCAATACCTCTGTTTCCTTGCCCCAAACATCTAGCCATAGAGACATGTCACATTTTAGAAATCCAGACATCACCACAGTGCTTCCATTGGCCCAGCATTGATAGGTAGAGCATTCACTTTGGTATGATGTGTTATTTTATTAGTATATTTTCCATCCCTCAAATGAGTACTTTCCTTCTCTCTATAGAAACTGTTGCCATATATTTTTCTTAGTTTTTGCTATCACATGTATCTATTCTGATGTGATCACTTGATGTCAATTAAATAAGAAACAGTTTGTGCTTATATTTTGCATAGTGGGAAAGGTAAGGCGACATCTTCACCTCTATCTCATCTCTTCTCCAGTCCTGACAGAAAAGCACTCAAATCTTTCTCTTCACACTGGAGCACATTGTATAAATTCTGAGTTAAAAATAAATAAAACAGTTCCCAAGGGCAGCAGTATTCACACAAAAGAGACTCTGAGATGCAGGTGCTAAGGCAAAATTAATGGCTGCAAGCATGATTATATGAGAAGTAGGTTTATTGCAATTAGTGTGAGTAAAGGAATATGAAAAAGTCTTTCTCCTCAGCTCCTAAACAGAGTGTATTGCCTACCTGCCAATTGGGCTACATGTAAATCTTCTTCAGTATTGACACATTCCTAGAAAATGATCAAGATGTGCAAACATATGTGTCTCATAGGTAAAGTTCTCTTGTATCAGGCTGACTATATAGTCAGTCTACCCCTTCAACCACTTTCCTGTTTAAACGTAACCTCAAAAAAAAACCCTCTACCATGTCTCAATCTTTCAATCTTTTCCCAACTACCTTTTCTGCCACCTACATTCTTAGAAGGTTCTTCTCCACATTAACAACTACTAAAGGTCTTCTGTGCTTGACTCCCACTCAAGATGATGTCACTGCATGGGATTCATTTTCTACTAGTACCTTTGTGACTCTAAGAAAACCTCACTATTTTTGACCTCAGTTTTCAAGATTGCTGAAACTCCTTCTAGTCCTCCCACCACACCCATTATCTCTCTTTTTGTCTGATATAGAAAGAGTTGCAAAACCGGCTGTGTTGGGTAACTTTGTTTATTTGCTTGCATATCATCATCTTTAGGTACTGATCTTTATGAGAAAATCCAAGGCTAAATCCAGGAAGCAATAGAGGGAGTAGATACAGTGAACCATTTATTGGAGGTAGTTGTTCTGATATAGTAATGACCTCTGAACCTTTGCAGCATACTCAATCAACTTAATAAAAAAACCTACAGGGTCACCTCTAAATAATAGAATTAGTCATGTAGATGTGGGGAGAGTTCACACACACACACATACCAGAAAAACCCCACTTCTCAAGAGTTTGCGGTTGAAAAGGTATCAGGACCATGCTGGGGAAACCCACAGAAACAGCTGGCCTGAGCACATAGAAGTTTGAGGACCCCAGTATGACAGCTGGGGAACCAGCATACGATAGAACCAGGCCCCCTGAACATGGGTGTCAGTTAGGAGGCCTGGGAAATCTATGGGGTCTCTGGCAGTGGAACTAGTATTTATCCCTAATGCACAAATGGACTTTGGGAGCCCATTCCCCATGGAGGGATACTCTCTTATCCTAGATACACTGGGGAGGGCCTAGGCCCTGCTCCAAATGATGTGACAGACTTTGATGATCCCCCATGGAAGGCCTCTCCTTCCTTGGGGAGTGGATGGGGCATGGAATGGGAAGGTTGGGGGGTATGGGACGATGGGAAGGAGAGGAAACTGAGATTGATATGTAAAATGAGATTGTTTCTAATTTAAATAAAATTAAAAAATAGTTTGAGGTTGAAAATGTAAATACTGGGATGATCTTCCCAAATTTCATATGAGCTTCTCCTGACCCTGAAATGCTACTTCCTGAATACCCATCTGTCTTATGTTTTACAAACCAGCAAGGAATCTAACTGGACAGGTGGGTTACTGACCCCATCTTCACTAACCAATTGGTTATATAGGGAATCTTCCACACACTATCATCTAGTTCAAAACTGCCCCTCATCTGCTCTTTCAAAAGAAGGATAAACCTTATCCACAAGGGAATAACTAGCAAAGCATGCATTCTCCACTCCCTTTATGTTCATAACTGAAACCTGATATTGCTGCACAATAAACTTTTATTCCATGTCGTCTGCTAGAATAAAATGCCTGCCACCACAGCTGAAAAGAAGGCAGACTTTCCAATCAGTTCAGAATAGCTGGGATGCAGCATGGACCATCAAGAAAACGTCTCTGATATTAGCAGTCTCTAATTCCCCTGCATCAGAATCACTCTAGATGCTCTGCCAAGGTAGAAATTGTGAACTAACTCTGTCTGTCTCTGTCTCTGTCTCTCTCTCAAGATTCACTGAATTTGAGTTAATGAGAATTTGCGTTTTTAAAAATCATCAGTTCATTCTGATGTTAACTCATGACTGAGGAATACACTTTTAGTGGAAATTAGTGAGATTTTGGAGTCAAATTTGATGCAGACACCTGAGACCTGCCCCTGAAAGTTGATGTGAATATGGGGGAAATCACCTCAAATCTCTGAGTTGCTTTTTCATCTATACTGGAAATGGTGGCACAGAGTTCATCTATACTGGAAATGGTGGCACAGAGTTCAATTGAAGCATACCATACATGCTGTAGCTGACACCAGGGTCAGTATCAATCATACTTTGTTCTACCAAAGAAGACAGCATTGTCTCATAATAGAGTTAAGTTGATGTAACTAAGATATAAATCTCCTCTACCCTCTAGTCACCCGCAGTCCTCCCCCCTGCCCCTCTTTGAAACCTCTCTAACAGTTGTTGCTCCTGGACTTCTTAACTTTTTCTTTCCCACTATAAAATGAAACTACTTGGCTAAGTTCTCTTTGTTAGCATAGATTAAAGTTTCTTTCAGCTTCCTTGTAAATGCTCACATAGTAGGAACTCATAAACAGTTTCTGAATAAATGCCACGATGTAACTCCAGCCCTACTGGTCTCAACATCTGCATTTCAGTTTAACCTGATTATTGTTTCAATCCTGTAATTTCAATTTAGGCAAGGCTAAGACATTAACCTACCACACTGGGAAATCAGATCCATTTTTACTTGGATAGACAAGTCAGAACAAAAACCCTCCCTCTACTCCCAGAGAAAGTCTGGTTTTCCTCTCCTCAGGTTACCAACTCCTTTGGGGGAAAGCAGCTAACTCTTAACCCTTAGGCCTTCAAACCTTGTCTATAAGAAATAGGAATCCAGGACTGATCCCTCCTAGACTGTGCAAACAACCAACTATGAGGAAGTAAAAATACACCAGGATGCCCTTGGGAAGAAAAACAGCTTCTCTGAGCTTTGACATGAAAGGACAGGAAGCCCGAGAAAGGAAGCAGCAAAGAAGGGTTAAGCAAGGGGAGAGCAGAGCAGGGATTTTTTTTTGTCCAGCTGCTTCAGTTGCATTTGGCCAAGATGCATATTTACCTTCTAACCAGGAAGGCTGCTTGGCTTGTTCCCTTTCTTCTGGTTCACACTGGAGAAGAAAGAAAAAAAAAACACTTCTCCTCACAGCTTGTCAGACAGAGATGGGAATCCCAGTTGCTCTTTGCAGTAATGCCTGAAAACCTAGCTTTACCTTTGGGGGAGAGGGGTGGAGTCCAGTGTAATGGGAATTAACTCCAACTACGCTGGAGGCTTCAAACTCAGCCTCTGACATGCAGGCACTTGAAGCAGAAACCAGCTCAGCAGGGCACTGAGCTCTCACTCTGTCACCTCCTACCTCCTGGCTGCCAAGTCAGCTCCTTCCTCTCTCTCTCTCTCTCTCTCTCTCTCTCTCTCTCTCTCTCTCTCTCTCTCTCTCTCTCTCTCTCTCTCTCTCTCTCTCTCTCTCTCTCTCTCTCTCTCTCTTTCCCTCTCTCTCCCTCTCTCTCTCTCTCTCCTCGTGTGTGTGTGTGTGTGTGTGTGTGCACGCGCGCGCACGCATGTGCATGTGTCTACACCCACTCTTAAACTGCATTTCTGTGGCTCATTTCCTGAATGCCAGGTGAGGAACTGGTGCTCCCCTAACCTTTTCTCTAAAGCTCCAAATAATCTCTACCACGGGGATTGGATAGTTGAAAGAAATTGAGAGAACACATTCACCATTAAGCAAAAGTTTCCTTTAACCCTATGTCTATTGTTTTGGGAAAAACAACACTCCAATAGAGAAATCTTTGACTTCCAAGATGTGAGGTAACCTCTAAGAAAAACCTGAGGACTGGAGAGATGAGTATATGTATAAAAATGCTTGCTGCACAAACCCGAAGACCTGTGTTTGATCCTCAGAACCTGCTGTAGAATGAGAGCACGGACACTCGAAAGTTATCTTCACAACTCCACATGCATGCTGTGACACACATGTGCATGCATTCATATTCATATAGCATTCACACAAACAGGAATAATAATGCATAGAATTAAAATTAAAAAAAACAAAATCATGAAGAGCAAGATGTGCTGGCTCACAACTATAATCCCAGTATGCAGAGACTGAGGCAGGAAGATCGCAAGTCCAAGGCTAATGTGAGTTACATAGCTAGGTTATGGAGAAAACAAAACCAAAGCTCTTACTTAAGTCATACATTGAAATAGTAGTAATACTTTTTGAGGTAGTAGTAAGTCCGTCCATCAGTGTCGAAGTTATCTAAAAGCACAAAGAACTTCTCTTTTCTCCCTGGGAAAAGGACTGAGTGATCTGAAGATGAATAGCTTCTCTGAAACCCTGCTCCAGCCTAATGCCATCACTCTCTTCTTTGAGTGTCCCTAGCACACTGCGTTTATTTTTGGAAGCTTGCCATCATCCCCCTTGTACACTTTTGCATATGGATCTTCTTTCCCCTTCTATCTAGATGCCTTGAAACAATAAACTTAGCTCAAAATAAGTTATAAGGAGGATGGCTTAACAGAGCATCCTTGACTGATCCAAAATACAGGTGCTTCTACGATGACCCTATTTCCTTCAAAGAGATGCTCTAAAAGCAGTCAGTCTTGTTTTTCTGCATCTTACAGCAAAAATACAAAAGGAAAGGTAAATGACTTGGTATATTCATTGTGCTATAATTATTTAATGAGCCTACTAAACTTTCTAAACTGTCTGCCTGGATACATGCATAAATCCTGCCCTGTCTTTTATCATCTATATTCATGCACACATTCATTTATCAAGCTATTTCCCGTCAGCAATTTTTAACCATTTTTTCTTCCCCAACCCACTGATTAACCACATTCCCATCTGTAACAAGACCTTACTGAGGCAATTCCTGGAGGGAGGGAAAGCTGACATTCTGTAATGTTTGACTTTAGGCAGTGTAAACTTATCTGAATTTTTTTTTTGGTTTTACGAGACAGGGTTTCTCTGTATTGTTTTGGAGGTTGTCGGTCCAGCCCTGCCTCGAACTCACAGATATCTGCCTGCCTCTGCCTCCCGAAGTGCTGGGATTAAAGGCATGCACCACCGCCGCCCGGCTCACCTGAAATTTTTAACATTCTCCCAGTTGTTACTTGTTTAGAAGTCACTGCTTCAGATACAGAACTATGTAGAGCAGCAGTTCTCATCCTCTAGCTTGAGACCACTTTGAGGGTTGAATGACCCTTTCACAGGGGTCTCATATCAGATATCCTACATTGTAACCAGATTTTTCTCTCCTACCCACCAGAGTCTTACTACTAATTACAAAATGTTTGGCCTATTAGCTCAGGCTTATTATCAACTAGCTCTCACAACTAAACTAACACATTTCTACTAGTCTATATTTTACCATAAGTCTCGTGGCTTATTACCTCATATCTTGCTTCCCTGGTGGTTGCTGGTGTCTCTTTGACTCCAACTTCTTTCTCTTTTATTTATGTTACAATTAATAATAGTAGTAACATAACAGTCATGAAGCAGCAATGCAAATAATTTTATGGTTGGGAGTCACCACAGCATGAGGAACCATATTAAAGGGTCGCAGACTTAGGGAAGACTGAGAACCACTAGTGTAGAGAGAAGTGTTATGCCTTCTTTCATAAAAAATAAGTCAATATGTACAAAATATAGAACCTGTGTGCGAGATATGGCTGAAAATTTTTACAGGTGCAAAATGGTTGGGTCTACTCTGTGCTCTGGTATATATTGTCTTGCATTTAGTAACTACACTTGTCACTTGGGAATCGTCACTCTTTTGAACTCAGAGAGGACTGAGTTTTTTACTTCCTTCTTTTTAATCTGTTTTCATTGGGCCTCCAGTTCTCTTGAATGGGATAGTAGAAGCACTTAGATATATATTGCATAATGATATACTTTATTTGGGAAAATGTTTGTTTTTCTTACCTTTAATATAATGGTTGAAATTTGTTTCAAAAAGAAATAGTTCTGATCTTGTGGGACTTGATTTCTTTTCATTTAAGTATGCTGCTCAGCTGGCATAAAACTCCTGCCTATAATCCTAGAGCTTTGGAGCCTGAAGCAGGAAGATACCAAGTTTCTTGCCAATCTGGCCTACATAACAAAACTCTATCTCAAAAACAAGGCAAAAAAGGAAACAAAACAAATGATCGTAAGTCATGTTTCCATAAGACATTTGAAACAGACTGAGAAGTAGACACTTCTAATATATTTAAGCAATAGAATGATGTACAGTAGTTATAATAATGTTAAAATTCCTACTGACCATGGAATATCTAAATCTTTTATTTAAGATATACAAAGAGAACACATGGCTGATGGGTGATTCTAACTCACATGTCACTCCCTATCCCCAGTTTCGTGAACATTGCCTTATACATACAGTAGCATTTCTCAAGCAAGAGTAATACTCCCACAACATTTTACTGTCTAGACAAGGAGTCAACAAGCCAGAGACCATGCATGCCAAATCTAGTAGGCTGTCTGTTTTTCTAAAGTTTTATGGGCACACAGCCACAGCATATTCATTTCTGTATTATCTATGGCTTCTTTCATGCTACCATGGCAGAGATGAGTAGTTGTAAAAAAGATCTTATGACGTACAGAACCTGAAGTTTTATTATCTGGACCTTAACTGAAAAAAATTGTTGATGCCTGGTATAGGCTCATTATCTATAAATTATAGCAGCGTCACAGTGTCAAAATTGGAAGAAAAAAGAGGTTAAATGGAAGAGGGGAAATTGCAAAAAAGCAAAAATAGCACTTGGTTTCAGCTGTGGTATACTGCCAGCCAACCCATCCCATTTCTTTAAATTCTACCAACTGTGAGTCAGCAACACACTGGTGTTCACTATAAGCCAGAAAGTTAGTAGTGCTGTGAACCTTTCTCTGTTAACTTAGCCTCTGAAGCTGTATTCATATTTCTCACATTTTAATTTTTGCTTTTTTGTTAGAGCTTCTTATATTCTTCCATGGTTGCTTCCTTGTTTGGATTTTTATAAGATGTATTATAAATATATGTGTGCTAAGAAGAGAGCATTTATTTTAATGTCATTTTTAGAGCCCCATCAGCTTTGAATTGTGAGAAGATGACATGAAAGTGTTTTCAAAATTTAAAAATACATAGATTCCCTGAAGTTTCACCCATGGAAATTGAATATAGGAAGATACCCAGGCCAGTGAAAAGGTTTTAATTCTCAGGGCTGAAAAAGTGAGTTAGTTGGCAATGTGCTTCCCACACAAGCATAAACATGTTCTCTGAATGCTAGCAGCCAATTAAAAAGTCTGGTATGGTGATGTGTGCTGAGAAGCCCAATACTAAGGATGTGAAAAAAAACATGAATCCCTTGAACGTGCTGGCCACACATACTATACAAAATTTCCCCCAAAGTTTTAGCTCTATACTGAAAACATAGAAATGAAACTTATATGTTTTATATGGACATCAAAACTTGGGACTGCAGAGGTTGCTCGGTGAATAGAGGTTCTTGTCACAAGTCTGACAACTTGAATTTAATTCCTGGAACCCATGTGGTAAAAAGAAAGAATCATTGAAAGTTGTCCTCTGATCTCCACTGGTATGTCACAGTATATGTTCATACATGTGTGTACATATACCCAAATAAATAATACATGTTTAAAAAAGTTAAAGAAAATCAGGAATAACAATTATCATTTATCAATTCAGTAGATGAATGGATTATGGTAGTCATAAGTCGAATCAGCTACTTGTCTCATTGCTGTGATTACGTACATTTTATCATATATTTACTAACATGTATTTAGGTTGCCTCTATTGCCAACCTAAGAGTGAAAGACTTATTTTGGTTTAGAATTTAGCAGACAAAATTGAATATGGATTGACTATGGTAGGGAGAATATGGAGGATACAATCAATTGTGGTAGAGGGCATAAGGCAACAGGAGCTTGCTTATACATACATGTATCAAGAAGCAGAGTGAAGAGAATTTAAGTGCTCATCTGATTTTCTCCATTGCTTTCTTTCTTCCATGTATATGTATGTGTGTCGTATGAGCACATACATATGGAGACATGAATTTGATGCAGAGATCTTTGACCACTCTCTACCATATATATTGAAGCAGGGACACTCAACTGAACCCTGAGCCTGATGATACACAGCTAGTCTGGCTAGTCAACTTGTTCCACCTATCCTTTCTCTACATTCTCATTGTCCATCCATCCTACACATCTGTTCTGAGCATCCAAACTCCAGACCTCATGCTTACACAGCAAGGACTTTAATCATGCATGGGATGGTACCAATCATATTCAGGGCACATCTCTCCTGAATTTACACGTCTCTGGAAATCTCTACACAGACATGGCCAGAAGTGTGT